GCGGGAGGTGAGAGAGGCTGTCGGTCCATCTTAGAGATCGGAGGGGAAGCGCTTTGGGTAGTTGTTGGATGAGGTTGAGAATTGATGAGAAGTACCTCTCCATTGCTGAACATTTGTCGATGCGGGTCGGTAGCGGTGGGATTCTGCCCGTTGAATGATGGCTGACCGCCTGATTGCTGTGCGGAGATGCGGGCGAAAGCTGTATTGAGACGCAAGTCAAGGGCATCCGAAGACAGATTGGGCACTCCATCATTTCGGTTAAATGAGAAGGTAAAACAAGGGCGCTCTTGATTGGCTTTGAAGCCTCGCCCACTATGCAGGCTTTCGGTATGCGATTACTTCTCTCGCTGAACGCTGTGCTGCGCAGCGCCAGATGACCTCATCTTCGGTGCAACTTGAAGCTGATTTCATGTACTGTAGTTCCGAAAAATAGGAGGGTAAGTTCTTTGTCTAGGAGGAGTGGACAACTGCTGAATCCCAACATTAGCCTAGATTCGAATTTATATTGAGAGTAAGTCTGATCGGTTCGCATATCATATATTCTTACTAACCGAGATCTTCGCTCAGATCATCGACCTAAATAATGTGCCACTTGTGAGTGGAACGGCGTTCGTTAAATGGCGTCTGCCATCGTCTAGTACAGCCGAGCATCATGGGCATACGGACAAAGCGATCATCATTGATCATCGAGCGTACTGGAACTACGAGAAAACCCTGCAGGTCAGGCTTACGATTGATCGAAATCAAACACTCCATGAATGCGAACTCGTCCTCGACATCATACAAGAGTTTGGATCTGGAGGCCACGGCGACAAGAATCTTTTAGGAAGGATCAGGCTAAACCTCGCCGAGTATGTCGACAAGAGCGATGACGAGGAAGGCATTGTGAGGAGGTACCTGATGCAGGATAGCAAGGTCAACAGCACGCTCAGGGTTGGGATTGTGATGCGCCAAATCGACGGCGATCGGAATTTCACCACGTATGCCTTATTATCACGAAGCATAACGAGTCTGTTACTGATTGCTAGCAGTCCGCCCCTAAGGTCCGCCGCGGTTTTCGCAGGCATCGCGGGTGTAGTCTCCTCAGAACAAGCTGATCATGATGACCTTGGCCGGCTTCCGTCCATCAACACACAGAGTAGAGAGGTTGCTGATATGCAGGACATGTACCGCCGCACTCTGGCTGCTTCATGGCTGTCTGGCACAGATTGCATCCCCGCGGATAAGTTGATCGAGGACCTCTTTGCCACGGGTGCTTGCGGGAACGACGGAGATCCTGATGCTCGCTCTCGGAAAATGGCGGAGAATCATAACGAACTTCGCCCTGATAGGGATACAGACACGAGGCAAACCAGATCAGGGAACAGATTGTCCCCAAGTTTCGAGAGGCGGCCAAAGAGCTCATCCAGCCAATTCCGCAACGAAAGCAAAGGGTCTGACTCCTCTGGACACATCAGGAAAGGTGGCAGTATCCAAGAGCAGCTCTACGACAGTGCAAGTGGCAAGGCCTGGAAAAGCCGTAGTGAAGTGGATGAACTATCCGAATTTGACGTACGGGAGGACCTGCGAAGCTGGGAGGTCTCCGTAAAGGAATAATCCCGTAGCGCTCATACTCTTTTCTTTCATTTTTTTTTTTCAAAACTTTGACTTGACTCTCTCTCTCATTAGCGTTATTTACCTTAATTATTTGTTGAAACATAAGGATTAAGGATCTTCCGTCAAACAAAGGCGACCTCAAGCCGTTCTTCTGGCCTAAGGCACAAGTCATAGTGATCAAACTTCCGCATCTAGCCTAGCGTATCTTGACCGATAAGATTGCATGCAAAGCTACAAGAAACCACTGATTGCGAAGAATTCATGGAGCAGCTGGCTCAAAGCAATTCGCCCATTTCCCATATGCTTACGCGGTTCTCGAGGCCGGCAGCAGGGCGTCTGGCCTGTCAATACATCTCCCCTTGTGGAGAAATTCTACGGTCATTAACGGGTCGCCAGCGTGATGCTTTCGTCCGCTATCACAACACCGCAACCGATCCCGAGGACGAGCCATCGTCTCGCCGTCGACCTCGAACCAGGTGGACAAACCGGAAGGAACACCCTAGGAGTCAGAAGGTGACGCTCGATGTCGACTCGTTGGGAAAACCCGGGGAAATCGTTGTCGTACCGCATCGGACCCGCCGCCGTCGAGACTCCGAGATCAAGCGCCACACATCCGATAAATCTGCCCTTCCATTCATGCTAGAAGATATCGAAAACAAAGATACTGTTCTCGAATCTGCTACAATCAATGACAGCATACGAAGCTGTCGTGAACCTCATCGACCGCACGACAAGTTGTCCACCAACGATTGGGAAGACCTGCGGAATAGACTCCAGTCATCCTTTACCTTTCAACAGCTGTCAGACTATATACAAGAAGCGAAGCAAGAGGCTTTGGTCCAGAAGGATGGGGAACCACGAAGCGAGCACGCCCCCACTGCTGTCTGGAAACCCGGAACGTCCATGTTTCTTGAAACCGGTCCAGTTTCGCAGGGAAGCTTTGCCGATAGAGTCGCCGTGACACAAGCTCTAAAAGGGAAGCAACTCCTTGCAGAGAGGATTCTACGAGACTGCTGGCAGCTAGGTGTTGCTGGTGAAGTTGGCCAAATCGACATCCGGCTCCCCGCCTACTCGTTATCGCTGCTGCTCAACTCTGAGCATTTCTCTTTCGAAGAATTGGCCAGCTTACACGACGCGAAGATTGACGTCACCCGTTCGTTAGGCCTCATCAGAGTAACTGGTTCTCAGCACACATGTGAATCAATCCGCGAGATTATATACGATGCAACCAACAGAATTCGACAGGAAGATGTCGATCTCCCTACGCCAACTAATGCCACGCCCAAGAGTGGTCGTATTTTTACTCCTGATTTTATTGCATGGGTCAGCAAGACGTATGGAGTTGCATTCGAGCAGGAGCTGTCACAGGGCGTAATTAAGATGTTCTACCTTGCGGAGAACAGAGAAGATGCGGACAATGCTCGGAGAACCCTAAACCTAGCGATCTACAACACAACTTCTCCTGCGATACCCTTTGGCACTTACTTATCCGCGACCCAATCGGCTAGTGTCTACAATGTAGATCCAGAACGAAACGTCCCGTGGTTCGATCGGCAAAAGGCGTGGTTTCGGTGGGCAATGTCATCTGCTCAATCCTCCGAGACGAAGATCCTGGACACGCCGTATTTCGATAAGCATCAATCACTTTTGTCAGACGAGCTGCTGAAATTACTCAGAAAGTCATCACCATCAATCCCAGAACGCAATGGTATCAATGAGACCGTGGTAGCCGCCGTTGGCCAATGTCTGTTCTTACGCAAACCTTCCTTCGAGACTCAGACCCTCAGTGCTTCTCAGCTGGGCAAATTGAATCTTCCTCGAACTTTCGCTACAGATGTTCCCCGGGTGACGTCGTTCCTCCGTCCGCTCAAGCCACGTCTGCCCGATGATGACCAACAGTTTTACCTCTTCCGGTTGATTCCAACCGCTGCCCATGCAAGCATCTTTCCGCGACTTGAATTAGAGGTAACGCTGACAGGATCATACCGGTCCTCTGGCTCTGATGCCCAAATTGGCATCCATAGCGCCAAAGCTGAGCTGGCGGAGAGCAGTGTTGACTATCTGCTTCCCGAGAATGGCCTTGACCTTCGGTTTACCAGAAAGTTGTACCGCGATCTACTGCATGGACATTCTGAGAATGAGTCTGCCGAGAACATTACGGTGCAAAGGCTCCGGGAATGCCTGCAGGGCATCTTTTCTAGGCTCATGAACAGCGAAGGTGAAGCACCTCTGCCTGCTTTTACTCATGTTCCGCTCCCCAATCATCTGTTGAAGGGAACTGTCAATAGCGAACCAGACAATTCGGGTAACCACACTACTGCGGAATACATGTTCATGCCAGTGAATGACCTTAGGGGCACGCGCATTCATCGCTATGATTTCAATGGCCAGCAGCTCAACTATGCTTTCTATGAGAGCGGGCCGTTTAATCCCTACCGAACGACGGAGATCTTCCTTGACATGGATCTCAGTGAGGGTGACACCCCCACAAGTCCTGCAGAGGGTGCTGTGTCTCCAGACCCACTCCATCGTGGGTTCAACTCGTTCTACGGTGCTGCTTGCTCTCTGGCATTCGAGCTGGATAGGGCTTGGCGAATGGATTCGGTTTAAGAGCTGTCACTACTGTATTATATGTTTTCTATTGTATTATAATCATGAGACCTTGTTTGCATAGGATCCTCCGGCGTCAAGCTGGATAATGTACATATGCCAACTCAACAAATGCGCTGGCTGAATCATCATAGGAATAACTATATATTTGCCTTGTCGGAGATCAAGTCGATGCAATCTTTCTAGGCCCAGACCAACCGAGGCTGTAGGCATCGATACAGTGATGTATATCCTCGAAAATATTCAAACAAAGACTATGCTATGTGTGGCTTAGGTGCATGTGGTCAGTTGCTATCTGTAGCCCAAACAGGTAATCAGTCACAGACGCCGGGATTTATTAGTGCTCAGCACTTTTTGAGTCTATTCAACGACTTTAAGATGCCGTCGAATATCAAAGGGAAGCTACTAGAAGGCATTGGGAGTCATTTCGATACAATAATATGGTAACTGGCTGACTGTCCGATCATTTCAACTCACTTTAAAATGTCCCGTAGGCAAACAACTACTACCTTGAGCGGTCGGTGGGCAATTTGACGTAGCGAGGGGTTCCGCATCTGACCCAATCGGGCTTGAACTACTCTGTGGTTGATAGATCTCCCACCTCGAGACTTCTCCAAAATCTGCAATTTCATCAATGACATCGCTATTCTGCCTTTGACCTTGAGTCGCTGTGCTATCATCGCCTGGGAGTATTAGTCGACTCGTCGCAGTCCTCTCCGACCGTCCTGAAATAGAGCCAGCTTGACTGTCACACCTAACCATGAAGATTATGCGGACACGGAAATAGCATAGGCATGGAGAGAACACGGATCGCTAAGGTTTGATCCATGACTACATACAATCCGAGTTGAGACAAAACGCATGGATCTGACTGTACTCTTTCCCTCGACTCTCAGGTTGAAGATGTGACCTTGGCGCGTCGTGGTGAACAGGTTGTCGGCACGCTACACCTCACCCCTCACCATATTATCTTCTCCCACATCCCCCAAGGAGCCGAGACTGCGCAAGCTCAGGGTACGCCTGTTCGACCGAGGGAGCTGTGGATAACATATCCTATCATCTCATTTTGTACATGCCGCCCGACTCCCGCCGCATCCCGCCAGCTGTCGTCGATTCGCTTGCGCTGTCGAGACTTCACGTTCGTTTGTTTCTACTTCGCCAGTGAGAGTAAAGCTCGCGATGTATATGAAAGCATAAAACTCTGGACATGCAAAGTCGGCCGGATCGACAAACTCTATGCTTTCACTTATCAGCCGCCGCCGCCGGAGCGAGAATTCAACGGTTGGGAGTTGTATGATGCACGCAAAGAGTGGGCTAGACAGGGCGTGGGCTGCGATGGTAACGACAATGGCTGGCGGATTTCCGAGATAAATACGGACTACGGGGTAAACCTCTCCCTCACGAGTAGCTCCATGATCGGTGTATTGACTTTGTATGTCTCAGTTTTCACCGACATACCCTGCTCTTCTACCGGTGCCGTCGTCCATTTCAGACAATACACTCAACTATGCGGCTCGCTATCGGTCGAGAGCACGAGTACCTGTCCTAACGTATCGCCATCCCATCAACAACTGCTCGATCACGAGAAGCTCTCAGCCTTTGGTAGGTGTACGGCAGAACCGAAGCATCCAGGATGAGAAGCTATTGGCAGCAATATTCTCAACATCCCGTACAGACAGGCCACTGGCTAATTTMACTCCACCACATCTGGAACATGATTCGCCAAGCTCGACACAAGGTGACGTTTCATCGAGCCAGATGCTGACTGATTTGACAAACGCCGAGGAATTGGAAGACGAAATGCTGGAGTCGTTCCGTGGGGATCCAGAGGAAAGACCTCAGATTTATGGTGCCCAGCAGCATAATCTAATTGTTGACGCACGGCCGACAGTCAATGCATTTGCTATGCAAGCCGTTGGTCTGGGATCAGAGAATATGGACAATTACAAGTTCGCTACGAAGGCTTACCTCGGCATTGACAACATTCACGTCATGCGGGACTCCCTCAACAAGGTTGTCGATGCACTTAAAGACTCAGATGTCACGCCGTTAGGACCTAATAGGGATCAACTTGCACGAAGTGGATGGCTGAAACACATCGCTGGCATTCTGGATGGCGCTGGGTTGATAGCTCGTCAAGTTGGCTTACAGCACTCGCATGTGCTCATTCACTGCTCGGATGGATGGGATCGCACGGGCCAGTTGAGCGCTCTAAGTCAGATATGTCTTGATCCTTACTTTAGGACGATGGAAGGGTTTATGGTACTCGTGGAGAAGGACTGGCTTTCCTTTGGCCACATGTTCCGGCACAGAACGGGTCCTTTGAGCAGCGAAAAGTGGTTTCAGATTGAAAACGAAAGAATTGGGGGCGATTCCGGTCGTGGATTTGGAGAGGCTGGTGGTGCAAGCAAAGCCATCGAGAATGCTTTCCTCAGTGCAAAAGGGTTCTTTAACAGGGACAATACGAGCCGCGACTCTCTCCCGGATTCGGAAGGGGAGATGCAAAATTGTGACTCCGACAGTCCTAGAAAGCCAGGTTCCAGCCCCAGAAGCGTTGTCTCCGAAAAGGAGGTAACCAAGGTGAAGGAAACAAGTCCGGTCTTTCATCAGTTCCTCGATGCGACCTACCAACTGTTATACCAATATCCAACACGATTCGAATTCAACGAGCGGTTTCTCAGGCGGCTGCTCTACCATCTGTACTCATGCCAATATGGTACTTTCCTTTTTAATAGCGAAAAGGAGCGGGTAGAGATGAAGGCAAAGGAGCGCACTCGGAGCGTGTGGGATTACTTCCTTGCCCGAAGAGAACAATTTCTCAATCCCAAGTATGATCCTCAAATAGACGATCATACGCGCGGCAAGGAACGTCTGATCTTCCCACGTATCAATGAAGTCAGATGGTGGAGCGAAGCATTTGGTCGGACCGATGCGGAGATGAACGGAGTCCGCTCGACCAGCGTCACTCCCTCTGTCCGTCGCGGTAGTCCCGCCTCTGAGCCAACGCCGGTTTTGACGGGTATTGAGACAGCTCATCATGCTGTCGGAAGCGGAATACCTGGCAATGTGACCAGCAACGCTGCCCCGACCGGAATGGCAGCAGTGGCTTCAGGAATCTCAAATCTTAGTTTCTCCAAGGGAACGGAGAACCCTCAGGAGCCAAAAAATCTGAGTCAGGTGGAGCTTGAAATGCAATAGGAGTGAAGCAGACAATGAAAGATGATAAAGCACATAGCACTTGATTGCAGACTGCAGTTCACGATTTGATGTATGTTATGTTATGCGACGGTTACAACAAAGGATCGGCCTAAGCTAGGCCTAGACCATGACCAATATTCCTACGGCAAGTGTTGAAGATTGCGAAGGCTGCTGGCGGGTAGGTACCTCATTCAGCCTGAAAGAAGCTGTACTCCGTAGATGGTTAGCCAATTGATGCCTGAGAGCCTGAACAGGATTAAGCTCTGAAAGCTAGTTGTTGGGACTATTCCTATTACGGAAAGGAGTCGGCGGAGTGCAAGCGAGGGTTGAGCCCTATCCCAGAAAGGAAGGACAAGCCCTATTCCCAGAAAATCCCCACTAACGCGGAATCTCTCAAATCTGGTCTGACGACTGCCGACCACTTCGCCCTCGAACGACTTCCCAACTTTGGTGCACCGCTACGGCCGTTTCTTCGACAACCTAGAAACCAACCAGCAGAAACGCAATCATGGCCGCTGTCCAGGGAGCTATTTCGAAGCGCCGCAAGTTCGTCGCCGACGGTGTCTTCTATGCCGAGTTGAACGAGTTCTTCCAGCGCGAGCTGGCTGAGGAGGGCTACTCTGGTGTTGAAGTCCGTGTCACTCCCACCGTCACCGACATCAGTACGTTCGCCCGATCATAAGTATTCTTTCCGTTTGGTTATTTGGGGTGTGAAGGAGGCCAGAAAACAATGGGGAAGCCACGAAATTGGGGATGCAATGGGAGGAAGACAATTTGTCGCGAAGAATCACATGGGAAATAGTGTCATGATGCTAACGGATGCTCTTTTTTTTTGCGCAGTCATCCGTGCCACCCACACTCAGGAGGTTCTCGGTGAGCAGGGTCGCCGCATCCGCGAGCTCACCTCCCTCATCCAGAAGCGCTTCAAGTTCCCCGAGAACTCCGTCTCCCTCTATGCCGCCAAGGTCCAGAACCGCGGTCTGTCCGCCGTCGCTCAGTGCGAGTCCCTCCGCTACAAGCTCCTCAACGGTCTGGCCGTCCGCAGAGCCTGCTACGGTGTCCTGAGATTCATCATGGAGAGCGGTGCCAAGGGTTGTGAGGTTGTCGTTTCCGGAAAGCTGCGTGCTGCCCGTGCCAAGTCCATGAAGTTCACGGTACGTCAATAGTGCTTTTGGGAATCTGTTTAAGGAAAAGAGGAACTATGAAGGAGGTGAATGAGGGTTTCGGGATACAGGAGATGCAAGCAACTATACAGGAACCGTGTGACTGACTCTATCCTCTCTACAGGACGGTTTCATGATCCACTCCGGTCAGCCCGCCAAGGAGTTCATTGACAGCGCCACCCGTCACGTTCTCCTCCGCCAGGGTGTTCTTGGTATCAAGGTCAAGATCATGCGCGGCTCCGACCCCGAGGGCAAGGCCGGTCCTCAGAAGACCCTCCCTGACTCCGTCACCATCATCGAGCCCAAGGAGGAGCAGCCCGTCCTGCAGCCCATGAGCCAGGACTACGGTGCCAAGGCTCTCGCCGCTCAGCAGCTCGCCGAACAGCAGCGACTTGCTGAGCAGCAGGCCGCTGAAGGCCAGGAGGGTGCCGGTGCGGAGGCTTACGCCCAGGAGTAATCTGGTTTCTTTTCTCTAAAATAGGCCCTGCTCTTCTTTTCTTCGTTCCTGTCATCCTACCTACCTACTTCCAACCTCACGCAATAAAGAACACTACATGAACTTCAATTGTCTCCCCTTCCGACAATATTGTTCGCAACTGCCCGAGAATCTCTCTCGGGCTTACAGCTCTCTCCTAGATCCCTAGTGAAAGACCTAGGTAGGATACCAAAAGTGATGCTTGAAATGAAATGAGATTGCGGAACGGGAAAGTCGTTCACGTTGCGACTACTTGTACGAGTGCTACGGGACGGGGTATATCGCTCGTTAAGCAGGTGGTCTTTCACTTAAGACTTCCCTAAATTATATGCTGGGTGGGTGCGTAGCTGTCGTATAACACTGGTGCAATAGCAACTGTCCCTTGTAAATTTCTACCGTCTAAGAAAATACACGCTCGCAGTAAGCCGGACTCCGTCATTTGTTCTGGAACTTGCCAAGAATGTGTACAATCTCCACTCTAGCAGTTCACATAATGCAAGGTAGTCCTTTTCTGTCATGTTCAAGGTATGTCGTGACTCTAGCGCTGTAACTATTTTGTGCCAACGGATATTTTCAAGCATATATCTATAATTTTTGCTAAAACCACTTCCCCCTCTTCGTTGACAATCGCTTACAAGAAAGCCTCAATGTTGATCTCCAGCGTGCTCACGGGGTATTTCAGCTCGTACTTCTCCAATACTGTAGGGTGTAAGATACCGAAGGCACCGATGACGTGGTCCTTGCCAGCAAAACGAAGATGGATGGATGCCGCATGGCCCGGGAAGTAAGTGGGATCTGAGACCGAGTTAGTACCCGATACATACATATAACGACAAGTATATGAGACTTACCGTCGAGCTCTTCAATCCAGTAATTCGAGTCGCCGATGGCTGGGTTCTCGAGACCCTCCTCACCTGTGATGAAGGCACTCTTGAGCATGGCCATGATGCGGTCAAGCAAGCCGTGCACAACTTCAAAACCGCTCGTCTTGCCGTACCAGGCTGCAGCGAAGTGTCTCTCGTTACGGCTCTTACGTTCCAAAGCCAGATCTTTGAAGGCGACATCGCTGCACTCAAAGATCTTGATGGGTACCGAGTGATGCTTGTTCTCACGAATGGTCTTGAGGAGGCCAGGAAGCAGGCTTGTGCGGACAACTTGGAACTCTACGGTCTTAGGATTTGCCAGTTTGACGGCGGTGTTGCCGTCATCTTTGCGGTTGAGCCAGGCGAAGTTCTCGTCGTGAGAACATAAGATGAGGGGCAAGACCTCTGTCCACCCGGCCATTGCAGCTTCCATTCTGACAATATCGGAGAGCTTATTGACGGGTAAAGGCTGGGCAATCGTACCCGATTTGGTGGGGAAGGACCGCGGGAGCGAGTTGAAACCGTACGCAATGGCAACATCCTCCATGATATCTGCCTGGTGAAGCACGTCCGCGCGGGTGGGGGGAACATCCACGTCAATGAGATCGGGCGAAGATGCAGACGGCCTTGCTTGGTATGACATCTTGGTCAAGAGCTTGCAAATTTCCTCGGGAGAAAGCTCCAGTCCACAGCACTGGTTGATGTAAGACACCTCGGCCTGAGTGGTACGAGGTGCAATGTCAGGCTCGACTCTGGTCTCGTTATTGTGTTCAGAGACAATCTGAACAGGCTCAACACTTCGCAAGAATGAGTTAGTATCAGGTGTACAAGGCGAAGCAGACCGTACATACGTGAAGGGCTCGGAGGTATATTGGGAGAACATCGTGACCATAATCTTGGTGACGATGTCGAGCTTCGTCTTGTCAAGAGCCGTAACCTCGATCAAGACATTCTTGGTATCTAAAGTAATCTTTGAATGGTCACCGTTGATGATTGGCGGCAGGGAACAGACAGTCCTCTTGGAGTCGTAGATGACGGGGTAAACGGGGGAGTCGCGGATGATGTGGAGATATTTGCCCAGATGCTTGTCTTTCTGTTTATGGGAGTAAGTATCAATAGGATCGACCCATGGCTGGTCAGTGCCATACCTCGTAAAAGGCCATTAATTCCTCGCCGTTCAGTTCTTTCGTCTGGTTCAAAGGCACAAACTTGATGTCCTTTGGTGGCAGTGCCTCGTAGGTGAAGGGGCCCTGGAGAGTGTCTAGGTCATGGGTACCGATCGACACAAGAGTTCTCTGTCTGGCAAGGTTCTGGTGGAGTTTGTCTTGCAGAGCAATGAAGGATTCATAGCGGGCTTTGTCGAATTTGATGTTGCGAAGAATAGCTCCGGAAACCAACGGCCTTACTTTCATTGTCTAGTTGAAGATTTGTTTAGTCCATATTGACCCGACACTGAGTTCCCGACCACGTCCACTTACATCTTCCTTGACAATGATCTTCTCCAGCTGTCCATTGGCGGGCTCAACCAATCGGTAATTGGGGAGAGGCTTCCGGCCCAGGAAGATGTTGAGCATGAGCTGGATACCCTCGAAACATAGCAGATCGTAACTGTAGAAAAGACTCAGTATATAGACTGGAGTGTTCAACGTTTGCCGAAAAGTATGCATACCGGTTGGCGGGGATTTCGATCTTCAGCTGGGGCGGCTCCTGCTTGCCATCGACGATGGGTCTGTCCGAATTTGTAGTCTGTTTTTCTTAGCAATGTTCAATCGTGTTTCCCATGGTGTCCGAGGGCGCATTACATCCTCATCGAGCTCAATGCCTACAGAAAAGCAGTCAGCGAGAAACCCCGCAAAAATAGTGAGAGATCAATGAGTCAAAACGTACCGAATTCGAAGCACAGCTCATCGAATTCCTCCGTCGTATATCTTGGTGGTATGATTAGTCACAAAATGGTTGAGGATATTGACACAAGAGAAGAAAACATACTCCCGACCAAGCTCTTTAAAGAGCGCGGCCTTATCGACCGAGATGGTGGGCATGATGAGGGGCTTGTTCTTAGCAACTGTGTAGAAGGTACGCGGCGATCAGACAACGATTGAATGCTACCAACGCACTGGTATGGAGATGAGAATGAGTGTCCGAGTTATTCAACGCAGATTGACAGCGTTGGTAACTCCGCCGATGCTCTGTCTTTTGTCCAGTGTCGGGCAGATAATCGCAGTCATAGAAGTCCGTCGCACTTTTGTCTCTGTTGGGGCTTGACCCTCCGCCGATTAAGCCACAGAGTAACTGCACCGCCACCAATTCACCCCTCCTGATTCCTTAGGGCCTCAGGCTCTGCCTTGGTTATTTTTACCCCCACCAGCCACAGGAGCAGCTAGTACTCCGTAGTACTAGTGCCTCAGGTTCAGGTGAGCACCAGCGACCGTCGAAGCTCGCCTTAATAAGAATAGTAGCCGTCCTGATACCAGCTTCTACAGACTCATTCGAGGCTATTCTCCTTTCTCAAGTTAGAAATTTCAATTCTTCTATTACTGTTTGGCAACGAATTGCTGGTTTGCTGAATTCAATCTCAATTGTCCAGGTAATTCTGCTACTCAGTCGTGTCCTGCGGCGGCCCAAACCCCACGAAACCTCGCTCCGGGGTTTCTATCCATTATCCCTTCCTATACCACTAGAACTCTGCTATCAACAGCTACTAATATCAATCTAAGCGCAGGTGCTTGATCATTTCATCCTCTTCACGACAGTTTTCTTTGTCGACCACAGAATAACTTCCGGAGCCCCTGTTCAGTTCGCGTCATACCGGATTGATTTACCAACATAATTACAATTCCTGCTCAGGCCTTGAACCTGCCGCATCCCTGCTTCGTTAGCTTTTTTTTCACTCTTTCAATAGTACATTGAAAAGCATACAGAAGATCCCGCGATGGAGGGTCAGGGAGAAAATGATGAGCTCTACCCCATTGCCGTTCTCATTGATGAACTGAAGGTACAGCTGCTCTTTCACCCACGTCATCTCTTTCGACGCATACTGATAGTCGCGTGCGTCGTCTCCTTTAGCATGATGAGGTCACTCTTCGCATCAACGCTATACSCCGTCTTTCTACGATTGCATTGGCCTTAGGACCGGAGAGAACCCGGGACGAACTTATTCCTTTCCTCGATGGTTAGTTCGACCAAAGTTTGTGCATGATAAGACATGAGGCCTAATCAACGGTTTCCGCAGACTCTGTTGAGGACGAAGACGAAGTCCTAACCGCTCTGAGTGATGAGCTAGGCACTTTCGTGGAATATGTTGGCGGTCCGGAATTTGGCCATGTACTCCTTTCTCCCCTGGAGAACTTGGCAGCCATTGAAGAGCCATTGGTGCGGGAGAAGGTAAAAACCCGCGGGCTTGGTCTGTCGTTTCTAATGCTGACAGAAAACTAGGCCGTCGAGTCGCTCAACAAGATTGGGGAGGAATTATCCGAGAAGCAGATCGAAGAATACTTCATCCCCATGGTTATTCGCCTCTCGAAAGCCGACTGGTTCACATCGAAAGTCTCAGCCACGGGTCTTTATTGTGTTCCCTACAGAAAATCACAGCCGCCACTGCAGCAAAGTCTCCGCCAATATTTCGGAGGCCTTGTACATGACGAAACCCCGATGGTGCGACGACAGGCGGCAAATAATCTTGCCAAGTTTGTCAAGGAAATGCAGACACAAGTGATCATTGAAGAAATAATACCCTTGTTCCAATACTTGGCTAGTGACGATCAAGACAGCGTGCGCTTGTTGACTGTGGACATTCTCATCTCTATTGCCGAGGAAATCCCCAAGGAGCAGCAACCCAGCCATGGTGTCCTGTTGACTTCCCTGCGCAATCTTTTCGAGGATAAGAGCTGGCGAGTGAGATACATGGTTGCCGATCGATACGAGAAGGTATTTGTCCCTGGCGCGGCTATGGTTATTTTGTTTAGGCTGTGCTGATATCTTATGACAGATCGCTAAAGCTGTGCACGAAGAGGTTGTTACTCGCGACATGGTGCCCTCATTTGTTAAGCTTCTGAAGGACACAGAGGCTGAAGTTCGGACTGCTATCGCGGGCCAGATTCCAGGTATGTGAAGCTTTTA